TTGACACTAATAAAGTCATGTTTATCTATTTTTACTCCTTTTTCAATGTGATAAATATCCCACCAATCACATTTAAATAAAATAATTCGTTTACCTTCGAAGTATTGAAGTTCTACTATTTCGGTTAGAACACCATAGTAATTTTTATTTTGACCATTCGTTACTCCTCTTACTAAAACACCACTATTTTGCTTCATACTATTACCTTCGAGTTGTTTAGTATGAAACCGAAAACTATTTTTTTCATACCCCTTGAATCTTTGAATTCCATCAAAAGGACCTCTAGCTAAAGAATACAACCCGCAACTTACATGTGAATTTCCTTCCTTGCGCATTTACATGATCTGTATAAAAATAAATAATTAAATAATCTAATGATGCTAAATAAGTATGACAAATTGAATAAGAAATACAGTAAAAACTTACTCGATGAAAAAACCAATCATCGAAGTTCATGTTACTATTACTCTGCTTGTACTCCTTGTTTAAAAATAAAAATAATAATTGAAAAAAAGCTAACGAAGTCAAATTTCGATGTACAATACCATACAGAAATATACCGTAAAAATGGTTGAACTTCTTCACAATTTCTAAACAACATAAAGATGAGCTTGTTTTTGCTCAAATTCTTCAAGATTTCTAGATGTATCTCTTAACAAAGGGCACCCTTTTTGTTCAAATATTGACAATCCACAGTATGACTTAGCATGATCATCTTCATTATTTTTTTTCACTCGATTATACCCTTTACCACTTTCATGTAAATATCTTAAACAAAATATTACACTTTCTTCAACAATATACCCTTCCGCAATAGATCCTTCAGGTCGACTTCTATTGCGAACATAACAATTCATTTTGCGCAAGAATCTACATAATATAACATTCGGTTAAACGCTTAGCATGAAAAATTAACAAGTCACATAAAATTAAATCGAATTATAAAATACAAACATACCGCTTTATTGGGTACATCCATGTGTATTGTATAGGTCCAGCAAGCTTAGCCTCTCTTGGAAGATGAATGATCAAGTGCACTATAATATCAAAAAATGTTGGCACAAATATTTTTTCTATTTTGCTCAACGTAATTGGAATTTGAGTTGCAAGTTGATCCAACACATCAACTCATACAGTTTTTGAACATAACTCTCTGAAGAAAATATTTAGCTCAGTAATAGCTTCATAGACATGGTTCAGCAGGATTCCGCGGATTGTTAAAGGAAGCAGTTATTCCAAAAGAATATGAGAGTCATGACTCTTCAGTCCATAAATTTTACGATCCTCTAACTTTACTCATCATGATAAATTGGAAGAATATCCATGTAGAACCTTAATAGTTTTCAAGAACTTGCATACTTTAGACTTCTCATCTGGTGATAAACTATAGCATGCTGCTGGATAATACCACTTTCCATCTCTTTGAGTTGGATGTAAATCTTTTCTTATACCCATTTCCTTCAAATCACGACGGGCATTCAAATTATCTTTCGTTTTTCCTTCCATATCTAATAACGTCCCTATAATATTGTCACACACATTTTTTTCAATATGTACGACGTCTAAATTATGGCATATTAGATTATTTTTCCAATAAAGAAGTTTGAAAATGATGCTTTTCTTCCTCCAATTATGAATGCCTTTACTTTTTTCGTATTTTTTTCTCTTTTGGGTCTTACCAAATTTAATGTCTTCCAAGCTATCCAACTGATTTAAAATATCATTTCCAGTGAGAATATTTGGAGCAGGTCTTCTTTCTAGTTCCCCATTAAAATCACGTTTATTTCCCCGCCACTTATGATTAGGCGATTAAAACCTATGAGCACCTATGTAAGAGAACTTACAACCATACTTTAATCAAATAGACGGAGTCTCTTTATTTCATGAAGGGCAAGCCAAAGCTCCCTTTGTGCTCCATCCAGAAAAGTAGGCATAAGTTGGAAAATCATTTATAGTCCATAAGAGTGCTGCCCGCATACATAAGTTCTCCTTTATCGAAGCATCATATGTATTGACTCCATTATACTACAATTCTTGCAACTTATCCACCAAAGACTCTAAGTACACATCGATATCATTTCCAGGAGCTTTAGGGCAAGGTACCAATAAAGACAAGAAGCAATATGGTTGTGTCATGCACATCCAAGGGGGTAGGTCGACCACATGTGGGACATTATCTTGGTAAGAAAATTAGTAAACTAATAAAGTTTATAATATTTTTTTATTTTTTGGTGGATTGACAATCTGAGATACTAAGCAAGTTTGGTTTTAAATCACCGGTTCTAACTTTTATAATGTTATGTTTTTATTTTTATAGGAAAAGTTTAATTTTGATGTCTCCGAGGGAAGAAAAGGTGCAATTCTTGGTCATATGAATGACCTCTACAAACACTATAGGCACAAGTTGAAAAATAAGTATTTCAATTCAAAAGCAACTTATCAACTTCGCTCACGGAATAAGTCAAAACTTCTCACTGTAGATGAATGAAAATATTTGGTCATGGAGCGGTACTGACTTTCAGGTATTTTAATTAATCTATGTGTTCTTTTTAAATTATTATATGTTGTAGAAACTAATATTATAATTATTTTTTAAAATTTTTGTTCAGAAAAAAAGCACGCAAAACAAGGCAATAAGATCGAAACGTTCCTTGCCTCCATATAGTGGGACCAAAAGTTATGCAAGACTTAGATACGAAATGGTATGAACAACATGATAATTTTTTAGAACAAAGTTATAAGAATTATATTCACATATCTTATTTAATTAATGATAATGATTATTATTTTCACATGAGAAAAAAGATGGAAAAGCTCCATCTCGTGTGGAAGTTTTTTTTGGAATCTCGCAAGAGAAAAAAAGGAAAACAAGTTAGATGTTTTCCAACAAGATGTCATTGTAATGTCAATGTGTTCTATTTTATATTTATCTCCTTTTAGAATATACATTTACGCTTATGTTTAATTAATTTGTATTATTGATTGTAGGTTCAATTTGACCAATTAAAAGATCAGCAAAAAAGAAGTAGAAATTTCTTTAAATAATGATAATATCTTTGAGAAAGTACTTAGGGTAGAAAAAAATGGATATCTTCGAGCATATGGTCCCAGAAAGAATATCAATGAATATTTTGGAGGTAGACCAACAAAGATATAAGATGAAATCTTTTCACAAACCACTATTCTTTAGTGGTTATTAGCTAGTTGTAGCTACCAGTTACTATATTACTTTCTATAGCTATGTTTTCAGTTTTTTAAGAGTGTATTCGATGTATTTAAGCTACCGTATTCATGAATACAGTAGCAAATGTCGGCGTGAAACAGGGGACTACAGCTATACAAATTATTGTATTCGACTGTATTCGACTGAATACAGTAACGTAAATGGCGCAATTCATGGTCTATTCAGATTTTTTAAACGGAAAGTGAATCAATTAACATTATAGAATTCTAATATAACTCAACTAACTCAATTACACCACCCATAATCTTTTTTTGACGCCAATAATCTGAATATGTTTTTCTAAAATGATAGATACATCAAAACATAGCAGTGGCCGATCGTCTGTTTCTTCCATTTTCTATTGATTTTGTTTCGTGGGTGTTTATGTTTTCAAGCAATAAAACAGAAAATTCATACAATTATATACATAAATCGGTATAATTCAATTTTACATATGGCAAGTTTAACCGTTCTGCTGCATCATTCTGGCAAGTGGGACAGTGAGAGGAACTATGTCGATTATTTGATTGAAGGGATACCAATAAAGGAGTATGCGTCGTACAATGATTTGGTTGCTTCGAAACAACTCGATATAGATTTACGCTCAAAGTCAATCAAAATTGAATATAAAGTAGATGGAAATTACACGCCAATGGAAATACATAACGACATGGGTTGCAGGGTGTATGTAGAGTTAAAAAAGGTGAACAAAGAATTCGGGATGTATCCTTTGTGCATAACTACAATTGACAAAGAAGTTGTAGCTGGAAGTAGTTTAATTGAAGGCGACATTATGCAACTTGACGAAGCAAATCAAATGTGTAATTTTGATACAGAGTATACACTTGCTATACAGTCTTTCAACTCAGGAGAACCAATTGAGGTGTTCGAATTGGACACAGATTTGATTATTTCAAAACTAATCAAAGAGAGGTTATGGCTGGACAAGTATATAAGGATAAGGCTACATTGAAATAGGTGATGGAGCATTATGCAATATTTGAAAGATTTTAATTCCAGGTTGATAGGTCTAATGTTATCAGGTATGAGCGTTATTAACTACAACTTATTAAACATCAAGTTATATTCAAATGTATTATTGTGTAAAGTGAGTGTGAAATTGTATATTGTTTCCATGGCAGAATATTTAAATTGTATTTAGATTTGTTTGGGTGTATTTACATAACTTTCAAATATTAAACATATAATAATTATTAATATGACTTTCAAATACATGTATTCATCTGTATTTTAATGATGAATATTTATTACAGTGACTTTCACGGATGTTCTTAGATGTATTTATATGTATGTGATTGTATATATATAACTACAGCCGTAATCACATGTAGACATTTGTATTTTGAGATTTTTTTACATATTGTATTCTTGGTAGAATTTTTATTTATATGTATCCAGATGTTTTTGGATGTATATTCTTGACTTTCATCGGAGTCCCTACGTATTTCATACAAATGTATTCATCTATATTTTACTGGTAAAAATAGATATTACAGTGGCTTTCGCTGATTGTTTTTAGATGTATTTATTGATATTTAAATGTATACTTATAATTACAGTCTTATTCACATGTATATGTTTGTATTTTATAATAATGTATATATATGTAACAATGTATTCGCATTATATTAGTGAATTGTTGATCATTTATACTCATTGTATATATTGCGAAAATATTAGTTGCAGCTATATATTATTATGTATGTCAGAGGATTGTGAATGGAGGTTTAAGGCATCTAGCATTAACAAATCATAAATGTTCAAAGTGAGAGAGTTCAATGATAAGCATACATGTCCGTTGAAGGATAAGGTGTATGAGCAACGTCAAGCAGGTAGCAGTCTTATCGGTGGTATGATTAGGTCCAAGCTTACTAATCATAAGAGAAAATATACCCCAAAGGATATAATTGATGATGTGAAATCAGATTTTGGTATAGATGTTAGTTACATGTTGGCGTGGCGGTCTAAAGAAAAGAGAATGAATGTTTTGAGAGGTGAACCGGTTGATTCATACAATAAATTATCAGGATACTTATATACAATGGATATGACATATCCCGGTTCGCACATTAGAATGATAAAATCGCCAAAAAATGAGTTCATGTATGTGTATATATCTTTGTATGTCTTTATAAAGGGGTTCGATCATTGAGACCCATTGTGGTTGTGGATGAAAGCCACTTAAAATCGTATTACACCGGGACATTCATCTCGGCCAGCACGTTGGATGGTGCAGGCGAGTATGAGGATTATAATAAAATTTGATAATATTACTGCCTATTAAAGATTGAAATAAATATTTATAATATGTATTCAATTGTCTTTACAGGTCATATACTGCCACTAGCATATGGTGTTATTGATTCAGAGAACGATGCTGCTTGGTCGTGGTTCTTTGAGCAATTCAAGGAAGCATATGGTGATAGAAAAAATATGTGCATCATTTCAGATAGGAATGAGAGTATCATCAAATATGTGTCAAGAGTGTATCCAGCGGTACCACATTTTGATTGTATATGGCATCTATGGAACAACGTATATAAAAAATTCAAAAAAGGTCATTCAAAGTTGAGCGAGATATACTTCTCGATGGCAAAAGCATACACACAGGCTGAATTTGATAGTTTAATGGAGAAGGTGGAGAAGGTAGATATTAGGGTGAAAGAATACTTGGAGTTAGCTGGATACGAAAAGTGGGCTAGGTTGTATGCACCTGTTAACAAGGGATGGACCATGACATCAAATATTGCTGAGTCAATCAATATCACACTTCTGTCAGTAAGGGAATTGCCAATATATGACTTCCTCGAAGAAGTTAGGAAGATGTTTGGATGTTGAAATTGCAGCAATCGGAAAGAAGCTTCACAGACATACACAATGCTTGGAAAAAAATACCAGGATATGCTTACCTTGAATGAGGCAATGTCTACATGCATGACTGTAAGTTGTTTTTTTATAAGTCATTGTATCCTATATTTATCCATGGTACAAGGTGTATTTATTTATGATACAATTTCTACTATTCAAAATACAGAACTTAAGCTAATTGTATCGTTAGTTGAATTTAATGGTTTTGTTTCTAACCATATGCACTTCATAAGCAAATAGTTACTGTATATCACTGTATTCACCAGTCAAGATGTAATCATCTTTAATATTCTGCCAGCCTACATATAGAATGTATTCCATTGTATTCAATGTATTTCATTGTATATAGCTGTATTTTTTTGTATTTTATATATACATATATGTTTGTATTCAATACAAATTTATTTGAATTCAATATATATGATGATTCTGAAAGCTAAATAAAAGTTTAATGTTGTATATTTTAATTATATATCTATATTGTAATTAATACGTCTATTCTTTGATATATAAATGATTTTTTAAAAAAATATTTTAAACTAATTGGTCTATGTTTAAATGTAGGTGGTACCATCGACCGAATACTTGCATACAGTGAACGATGAAGGAAGGCATTATATCGTGTGCCTCTTAGAGAGAAAATGCAGTTGTGGGCGATTCCAAGTTGATGAATTACCATGCCAACATGCTTGGGCTGTCTTGAAGAGCAAGTTTCTAATGCCAGAAGATTATTTCTCTGACTATTACAAACCAAAGTGTGTTGTAATGACATATGAGGTACCCGTGTATCCGCTGCCGGACCAAAATGATTGGAATATACCAGCACATATATGATAGGAAGTTGTCTTACCACCCAAATAGAAAAGACCTCTTAGAAGGCCAAAGAAGAAGCGCGATTAGTCGTTCAGTGAATTGGTACAGAAGAAAAATCAACATTCATGTAGCATATGTGGGCAGGAAGGTCATAATAAGCGTACTTGTAGAAATGCTCCACATAGGACTTAGTTCACATTCTGCCTTGTATTAGTGCTATAACGATGTGTCATAGATTCAGGTTACATTTTGAAATAATACATTTTGAATTTTTACGTAAATATATTCTGGATATAGTTAGTTGGTGTATTAAATCTAAATACATAATTACAATACGACTATTACATATCAATACAAAATGTCAGAATATGAGTGTATTGTAAAGAGATTTCATATTTCATTCATCATAAATCATTCATGTTTTTGAATATATTTAAATACATCTAAATACAAAACATATTTGGATGTGATATTGTATATGGTTTCTGAATGTGAAATACATCTAAACACTATTTCTGACTTGAAATACAACGTGTTAAATACATATGAATACAACCTGCCAATATTATATAAATACAACAGGTTGAATATATGTGAATACAATCTGTTGATTATAGATGAATACAACCTGTATAATTTATATGAATGCAACCTGTTGAATATAGATAAATACAACCTGTTGAATACAGATGAATACAACCTATTGAATACAGATAAATACAACATGTTGAATACAAATGAATACAATCTGTTGAATACAGATGAATACAATCTGTTTAATTCATATGAATGCAATATGTTGAATACAGATGAATACACCCTGGTTTATTCATATGAATGCAACCTGTTGTATCCATACAAACACAACCTGTTGATTACAGATAAATTATGATGCACAAAAATATTGAAACATCGACTGAATAGTTGAAATGATTATATATAAACACTGTGGATACAGTGAATAAAATGTAAACATGATTTTTTCTTAACTAAATACCATATTTACCAAAACACTATCCAAAATACAGTATTCACACAAAACTACCATCCAAAACTACATTCACCTAAAACTACTCTAACATTATCTTAACCGACGTATCCGAATCCGTGATTTGTCTAACAATCTTTGAGGGTGCTTCGTTCTCGCTTATGGCATCAGCATCTATCTTCCGCATAGCATAGTGCCAAAGGAGTGCACCATATCTTTGACGGAGTAAATTGGCATCAAATGTTGATTGTGGAACCAAACCAACAGTGCTCAGAAACTCTGTGTATGACGCGACATGCAACCCACAATCCCTGAAAAATAAGATTGAAATAATAAAAAATAATTAATATTATTAGATTTATAAATGATACAATCAAGAGTATTGAATACATACATGCTCCAAGATTTTTGTTGAGGCAGATTTGAAATGAAAACAACATCAAAGGGGTCAGTTTGTGCCTTGTCACTGTATGCTGAGTCATGAGACCAATCTATGCCTTGCTTATCTCTGTAAAAATCACTGATCGATAGATACAGAGGTACAAGCTTAGCTAGATTATCTATCTTAGAAGCCACATAGGCATCATGACCTGCCGATCTGTATGAGTCATACACTTTGATACATCTCTCCTTGAATAAGACAACTGCCAATATCCAATGAAGTTTGTCCTTCAAGTTGACTGGTATCAAGATATTGTCAACAGTATGCCACGGTACATTAGCTAGCAATCTGTATCCCCTTATGTACTTACATACCACATCCTCTTCTTTGGCTATATTTGCATTACTATCTGTATCAGCATACCTGTCAAAGATTTCAGCGATTCTTGTTTTGAATATACAATCAACGGTTGTATACTTGAAGTTGGTTGTTTGGTTGTACTTACCCTTCTTTATCAAGTAGTAAAATATGACATCAATATGCTATATATAAAATTGAATACATCGCGTCAGTACATTGAATGAAATCAAGGAAAACAAACTGAATATACGAACTGAATATAGAAGTATCAACTGCTTAAAATAAATTGAACTTACATAATTCTGTTAGATACCGTGATGACCCAAAAGATCATCTTATATTTTAGAACTCGAATATGCGCTCTTAAGCCTTAAAAATCTCATTTTACCCTCCTCGATTTGCATGCGCAGTCCGGGCAGGTTTTTGGAAAGCTTTTATGTTAAAAATAAGAATTTTTACCTTAAAAGTTAATTTTAGTTGACTTCGATCAACATTTTCTGTAAACGGGCCCGGATCCATGCTTTGACAGTCTCAGAAGGTCCGTATCGAATTATGGGACCTCGGCGTATGCCCAGAATTGAATTTGGAGGTCCCTAGCTTGAGTTATGAAATTTTGATGAAAATTAAAAGTCTGGAAATTATTTGTTTTTAAGAATTGATTGATATTTGGCATTGTTAGTCCGGTACAGGTTCATTATGACATTTAAGACTTGTTTGTGAAATTTGATGAGAAACAGGGTTGATTTGACGTGATTCGGACATCCAGTTGAGAAAATAGAAATTTTAAAGTATTTTTGAGAATTCCATTTGATTTGGAACTAAATTCGTAGTTCTAGGTGTTATTTGCATGTTTAGTTTGGAGCCCCGGGGGCTCAGGTGAGTTTTGGATAGGCTACGGAGTGATTTGATCTTAGAAAAATAGTTGTGTGCTTCAGCTGTGTTGCAGGCCTCAGACCTCGCAAATGTGAGGTCAGGGTTGGAATTTACAATCACTGTTGAGGTCACATTTGCGAACATCTCATCGCAAATGCGAAGAGAAGCTGGGACAGGCTGTGTTCGCAATTGCAAACATTTCTTCGCATTTGCGAAGGAGTCTGGGAAGGGTATGGATCGCAAATGCGATCTTTTGTCCACATTTGCGAGGTCAGTGATCGCAATTGCGACACTTTTCTCGCATTTGCGAAGGGGAGCAGGATTGTGAAGGCTTCGCATTTGCGAGCTTCACATTTGCGAAGCTCAGGTCACAAATGCGACGTCTGCAGCTGAACAAAATGACTTTTGGACGGGAATTTTCATTCATTTCCCAAATTTTCAAGACCTAAAACACAAGAGGCAATTTTCCAAAGACCATCTCTTCCCCAAATCAAAGGTAAGTGATTCTAAACTGGTTTCTTTCAATCTTTCACTACATTTTACAAGATTGCAACCTAAAATCTAAGGTTTTCATGGTAGAATTAGGGGTTTTGGATATAAACTAGGGATTTCAGAAATTTGGGGATTTAGACCTCAATTTGAGGTCGTATTCCAAAACCAATTATATATTCAGGCTTGGGGGTGAATGTGTAAATATATTTTGGTCCGAACATCAGGTTTTGACCAAGCGGGTCCGGGGTCGATTTTTGACTTTTTGGAGGGAAATTTAGTAAATCTAAATTTATGCAATGTAATTGATTCGTTTAGCAATACTTGATATTATTGAGTCATTTTTGAATAGATATGAGTGGTTTGGAGGTGAATTCGAAAGAAAAAGCTGTGATTGAGAATTAAGTGGCCTTTGGAGCAAGGTAAGTATTGTGTCTAACCCTGACTTGAGAGAATTAGGAACCTTAGATTACTTACTAAGTAAAATTCATGTGAGCGGCATATATGTGAGGTGACCAGTACTTATGCGCCGCCAATTTACCTGTTTTTCCATGTTTCTCAATTTTTCTTATATTGTGTCATTCCTGTGCCTAATTGCTATGTGTTATACTAGTCTTGTTCAATTTATCGTTCTTATCATGTTTACGGATTTTCTGGTGATAATTGAGTTTTTGTTTTAAAGTTGAGATTGATCTTATCATGGTATATTGACTGCCCCGGTGATCATTCTGTTGTAGTCCTTTATTTTATATTCCCCTCAGTATATTCCCCTCCTGACATTTCCTGTTTAGTTCTTCATTTCTGTTATGTGTATATATACTGTTAAATTGTACATGTTGATTTGTAGGTGCCTTGCCTTAGCCTCGTCACTACTTCGTCGAGGTTAGGCTCGACACTTACCAGTACATAGGGTCGGTTGTACTGATACTGTACTCTGCACTTTCTGTGAAGATTTTGATACCGGCTCGGGTTGATCGAGATTCTGCTATTGGTCCATTGTCCAGAGACTCAAGGTAGATCTATCGGCGTTTACAGACCTTGAAGTCCCCGTCTATCTTTTCTGTT